TCTACAGTCATGCGGCAAGCGTAGAGTGTAGTCTACGGTTTCCTTCCCACAGAGTGGTACTCATTTATCAACGTCGGAAGAAAGAAGGGCGAGTGACCCTGACTAATTATAGAATGCTGTATGCGGCACAATAAAACCAGTCCTGCGTTTGGCTCATGCTGCTGCATGGAATCGCGATATTGAGACTGCAGAAGGTAAAAGTTAGAAACCTTACGGAAACGCACATCAAATGGCATAACTTCATCCGAAACGCACCTGTCAAATGCTTAGCTCATTAAACATCCCTGCAAAGTGTCTGTGCATCAGACATAAGCATTCAAAACGGAGTCATGCAGTCGCTTTCATGACCCAACAAAACATGGGACGCGTGGATGAAACAGCTCCCTAAGTATGCCCACCGATTATTGAACAGTTCTACACCACCATTACCAGAGGCCACAGTTCGTTAGCGTAATGACACTGCTGCAGACAATAGGCCTCTAATGACATTTATTCAAACCACAATGACCCACTACTGGGTCTTCAGAGTAAATAAATGCAGAAAAGTGATTTAGATTTGATGTTAGTATTCTGTACTTTAACGACAACCAAATCAACTGAATTCTGAGCATTCTCTTAGTAGAAATGTAAGGTAAACGATAACAAGGATCACAATGAATCGAACAGAACGATTTTAAATTCCAGAATTACAACAACAGGACATCATAAGATCCCAGCGTCCACGGGAGTTTGCACAAGGAGATGAACAATAAATTCATGAAGATGACTGGTTTACTTTGAAAAAACTTTTATTCATTTAACAAAAGTAGAAAACAAACTGAAAAGAAAACCACACTGGAGTGCTTTTATTTTGCAAATAAACGCATTTATTTAAAATAAATACATTATGTTACACTTCAGGTGAATTCAAATGTTTTTTTTTGATTTGCTCGAAAGGATTCCTTTATTCTTTAACCTTGAACACCACGTATATTCTTTATGAGTTCGAAAATAATCACAATCAGTTGATACTTGCTTTGGCTTCCTTCTTTGGAAAAGATGCTTATCTAAAAACATTTTTTTAAATAAGTAGCGGCTATATATGGAGATATGTGGAAGGAGTCAGTTTGAGACTTCGAGTGCATTCTGCCAAAGATCAGACATTGGCAAGGATCGGGAACGTTGGAA